TCGAGCAATTCCGCGGCGGCCTTGTGAGCCACCGACACCCGGGAAGTAAAAGGTATCTGAAAATAGTTGAATTCTTGTTCAAGTTCAGGTAACGAGACGTATGGACGTTGCGAGTTGTGACACTCCCAACATGAAGATCTTTCAGGGGGAGCGGGGTTCGACGGAGGTGGTGTGATGGCGGATTTTGAAATTTGAAGCGGGACGGTGTTCAAGAAACCGCACCCACTTGACGAGGTCTTGGCCACGATCGCAGCAGCGGCCCTGGTCGGAACGGTGGCATTGTTTATCTCGGTGTACGAGTTGGATTGTGACGGTGAAATGGTACAAGGGGTTGAAGAACTTTGCGGGGAAGGAAGGTGATCGCAAGGGAGATCCAATGTTGGCCTCCAGACAATCGTCCCGGTGCGATAGTATTCCATCACATAGTGAAATGCGTAGCCGTTGCGGTCGATGAAGTATTCATTGCCGTTGGTTGGGTGCAACATTACTCTATTTCGAGGATGAAACATTATACCGAGAAGGGTTTGGGGGTGAGAAGTTAATGTTGAGCGGTATGTTTCATACTAAGGTAATCAAGAATGATATCAAATAGAGTAAAACATATGCATGATATTAATGCGAGAAAAATAGACAAAAGACAATAAAGGATTCACCTAAACCACTAATAAAAAAAAAAAAAAAAAGGAAAGAGAAGAACCGATGTTCTAATCTAACCACCGTCAAAAATCATGTTTACCTTGATGCCGCCGACGTTTAGAATAATTTTTTCAGAAATATGTTCATCGTTTGGATTACGCACGATGCTTTCGCTCTCAATTTCACCTTTGACCCCGATTTGATTCTCCTGCTCACTCATCGTTCTTTCGTGGGAGAAAAGGTGGATCGCAAGGTGTTATGGTGTTGAGGAGTAGGCAGGTGTAGGGGTTTTAAATCTATTATTAGTTTTTTTTTTCTTGATAAGATATCGAAATTCCCTTTTTTTTTTTTTTTCTCGTCAAGAGGTTCTTGCAAAATTGAGGGAGGAGGATACACACTTTGGGCAAGAAAAGTCAGGAATCACGAAAGAAGAAATTATTAAAGAATGGAATTTATGAGACAAAAAGAAAAAGAAAGAAGCAGAAGATGAAAGGGAGGAAAGGGAAGGTTGAATGTAAAAGAAAAGAAATGGCGAGATGATACGATGGCGAATTTTTATAATTACGTACTGGCGCACCGATGAACAAATAGCGTATTGATTTGTGATCAGTGTTATGTCGAAAAAAAGAAAAATTACTATTAATGTTGGCACGCAAATGTGGATTAGCAAATCAAAAACGATTACACCACGAAAACCTAAATATGCGAAATTTGTTTTTTGTGCCGATAATGGAGAAGTGCCAAAGAGTACGTAAAAGGCTTAATTGCGGAGAAAAAAAAAATAAAGTATGTTACAGGGTACTTTTTTTTTTGAAAAAAAAAAAAAAATGCTGTCGATAAATGACATAAATTGAGTGTACGGATGAATAAATAAAATAAATACAAACAGCCGAATATTCGCAATCACGCAATCGACTACTTTAAAGAGAATTGGTCATTCGTAAATAAAAGTGGTCAACCAAAATTTAGCAGCAATAACAAATAATG